GGTAAATGCTATTCTCAAGAGACAAGGAAACTTTCCCGGAATGACTCTAGGAAAGAAAAAGGAGATAGCAAAACAAATGAAATTACCTGGCCTCCCTAAGTTAGATACTTTCGGACTTGGTTTTGAACCAACTCTGGAAGATCTAAAGCAAGTCCAGGAAAATTCTAAGGCGCGTAGGAACGCTTGCACCTAAAAGAAAGCAATTCCAATGGATCAATATCCTCTTACTCTCAATGGACAGTTCATAAGAGAAGGAGAGGACTATCCATGCTACAAATTTCCCGAACCTTTTGTAGTAAATGGCATAAGGAAACCTGGGTTCGGAATCTTTCTGGATTGTTACTTTTTAGATGAGATCCCAACTCCTATTCACAAGGAGAAAGCACCCCCATGCTTTGACTTCAACGTCATGGGACTCCTCTTTGGGCGTGAGAAGGATGAGCCAAAGTATATATAGGATAACTCCTCTCTCATTGAAACGGTTCTACAAAGCGAGAATTTTGACCCTTCGAAGCTCATCACTCCAGCAGAGGGTTTAGTGCAAGGATGGCGCAAGACGATCAAGGTGACTACTCCGAGTGGAAGAAAAATATCAATAACAACAGGATAAGAACCAATGTTTTAAGAGTTGTCTGAGTCAGAGTCTTTTCCTATAGAGTCTTCCAAGTACTTAGCTATAACACCCCCTATTTCTAATTCTTCTATTTTAACATCTACTCCTAGGATAGTTAGCAATCAAGTCCCCGAGGACATTTTCTTTCTTCGATGTAATGATTTCTGAATTTAATAACATGTCTTCTTCCTCTTACTCCTTGTGTTTTTCCTTAACCTAAGATGACGAGCATTGCTTAACTAACAATGAAAATGACAAAGAAATTATTAAAGCAATGGAAACACTTGAAAAGAAAACACCGGTAATTGAGGATACTGAAATGGTTGATATCTTAAATGATTCAACCATTAAAGAGAAGTTAAAATTGGATAAACGCTTAATAAACAAGAAAGAACCGATTTAATTAATCTACTTAAAGAATTTATCGATGTATTTGCTTGGTTATATGAAGATATGCCAGGCATTAATAGAGAAATAGCTCAACACTATACCACTAATTCTAGGAATGAAACTTGTAAAACAAAAGCAGCGTCGAATGAAACCCGACGTAGCTCTTAAAATAAAAGAAGAAGTTCAAAAGCAAATAACTACAGGTTTTATTAGGGTATCCAAATACCCCGAATGGGTAGCAAATGTGGTCCCAGTTCCAAAGAAGGATGGAAGGGTAAGAATGTGTGTCGACTATCGAGATTTAAATAAGGCAAGTCCAAAGGATGACTTCCCTTTACCACACATCGATATCTTAGTAGATGATACAACAAATCATGCGCTTCTCTCATTTATGGATGGATACGCGGGATATAACCAAATTCTCATGGCAGAAGAAGACATGGAGAAAACGACATTCATAACGCCGTGGGGTACTTACTGTTACACGGTAATGCCATTCGGGTTGAAAAACGTGGGTGCCACTTATAAACGAGCAGCAACTGCCCTACTCCATGATATGATACACAAAGAGGTTGAGGTATATGTGGACGATATGATCGTGAAATCGAAGGATCGACAAGGACATCAATTAGCCTTAAGAAAATTCTTTGAAAGGCTAAGAAAATACAACATGAGGTTGAATCCAACCAAGTGTGATTTTGAGTCACCTCAGGCAAGCTCTTGGGATATGTCATAAGCTCTAGAGGAATAGAGATAGACCAAACCAAGATCAAGGCGATTATGCCAATGCCACTGCCAAAAAACGAGAAACAAATTCGAGGATTTATTGGCCGGTTGCAATATATAAGTAGGTTTATATCAAAGCTAACAACGATATGTGAACCAATATTCAAGAAACTAAAAAAGAATGTGCCAGTAATATAGGACGACGAGTGTCAAAAAGCCTTTGAGAAGATCAAAGCCTATCTCGCAAATCCTCCCTATTAGCACCAGCGCTTCCAGGGATCCCTCTTAGGTTGTACTTAACAGTCACCAAGGAGACAATGGGGGCTATGCTTGCACAAGAAGTAGAAGGAAAAGAAAATGCAATCTACTACCTAAGAAAGAAAAATCTCGAGTATGAAGTACGCTACACACCGCTTGAGAAATTGTGCCTCGCATTATTGTGGGCCACAACCAAGCTAAGACATTACATGCTCATGCATACAGTCTTTGTAGTTTCTTGAATGGATCCAGTTAAGTATTTGTTTGAAAAATCTACACTCAATGGACGCATATCAAGGTGGATAGTCAACTTAGCCCAATTTGATGTAAGATTCATGCCTCAAAAGGATATCAAGGGATCTGTGGTCTAGGACTTCTTAGCGGATTTCCCAATAGAAGATTCGACGCCAGTACATGACAATGAGTTTCCAGATGAAGACTTAATGGTCACAGAAGATGACACTTGGACTTTATACTTCGATGGAGCCTCAAATCAAAAGGGATGTGGCGTTGGAGAACTATTGGTATCACCTAAAGAAGAGCATGTTCCAATCTCTATAAAGTTAGATTTCGACGTTACCAACAACGATGCCGAATATGAAGCATGCGTGGTAGGCCTCGAAACAGATTTGGCATTGGGAGTTAAGAAATTATGAATGTTCGGAGACTCTTCTTTAATCATCAACCAAATTTCCAAAAGATGGAAAGTAAGGAGTGAAAGTCTAGCCCCTTACCAAACTTATTTGGAAACTCTCATCAACTAATTGGAAAAGGTAGAATACACCTATCTACCTAGATAGGAAAACCAATTTGCTGATGCCTTGGCAAGACTAGCCTCAATGGTTAGATTCCTACGGAAATCGAGAAAATGCCCTTAACCATAGAAAAAAGGCATAACCCGACTTACATTCAAGCCATAGAAGATGATGAAGTGGTCCAAGATGAAGAAGAAGAAGAAGAAGAACCATGGTATACGGATATACTCAATTACGTCACCAAAGGAGAATTACCCCTCTTGGAACAGGAGGTCATGAATACAATCTAGTAGCAATTGATTACTTCACAAAGTGGGTTAAAGCACAGTCATCTGCCAAACTCACTACGAAACATGTACACTCTTTATCGAAAGGAATATTATTTGTCGATATGGAGTCCCACATGAGATGATAAGTGACAATGGAACTCACTTTCAAGTAGAATGTGAAGAATTGTTGCAAAAATATGGTATTCAACACCATCACTCTTCCCCTTATAGACCTCAAGCAAATGGAGCAGTTGGGGTGGCTAACAAAAATATAAAGACTGTTATTGAGAAAATGACAGAAAATTACAAGGATTGGTCTGACAAACTCTATTTCGCACTTTGGGGTTATCGCACGTCAATTCGTACATCAACAGGAAATACGCCATTCTTCTTGGTTTATGGTATGGATGTCGTACAACCTGTAGAGCTAGAGATACCGTCTCTACGCATTGCATTAGAAAGTAAACTCGATGAAGTCAAATGGACTAGAGCAAGATATGAAGAGCTAATTCTACTCGATGAAAAGCGGCTAGAAGCTCTACATCATACCCAATGCTATCAAACCCGTATGGCTAGGCACTTTAATAAGAAGGTCAAGACAAGAAACATCAAAGTAGGAGACTTGGTGTTAAAAGCATTAAGGAAAAATGTTTTGGATCCAAGAGGTACATTTAGGCCTAACTGGTCCGGACAATATATCGTTAAAATTATTCTGTCAGGAGGTGCAGCAAAACTAACTGATATGGATGGCATGAATTCTAAAATAAGACGAATCTTGACCAACTTAAAAATTACTACCTTGAGTAAGACACTCAAGAGAGCTACGTTTGGCCTAATTCCTTAAGAAAGGATACGTAGGCAACCCTTTACAGGGTGCGGCCACTTTAATTTTTGCAAACCTCGCATCCCATAAGTAATAAAAACTCGACGCAATAGCAACGCCACGAAAAGCAATCTGTCGTAAGACGACAGACTGCAGCGTAAGGCGACAGATGAAAATTAGCGGCGTCGATTTTCTGCGAATATCTGGGAAAAATTCGGTGTATTACGGAAATTTTTTGACTTCCATACTCGAGAAAATTTCAGGAAAATAATTTAAGTTGTTTTCATTGTTTTAATAAATTAAATTTAAAAGTTGATTTAATTAAAAAAGTTGACATTGTATTAATAAAATAAAGTAAAAAATTACATTATTGATGGAATTTAAATAAAAGCTTAACAAAATAAATTGACTTAAAATTTAAACTAGTCTAATAAATTGGAAGTTAAGCAATGCTTCAATCTTTCTTCTCTTTCTTTGCCCTCTTCCAATTTTTATCTGCATTCTCTTCATCATCCATGACTTTAGCTAGTAGGCATCCTTTAGAGGACCTACATTCTCAATTTTAGAGTAAATGGTTTCTCCTTTAGCTAGGACTCCATGTTTATTTTCTACCCAAACCTTCTTTCCTGAAGTGTCCACTACTACAAAAAAGGCCTTAGAGAAATGTTATAATAGGCTTTATAGATCGCCTTAGGGGTGTTCTTATGCTAAGCGATGTATAAAGTATAGAGAACGGGTCGTGTAGGCGTTTTATATAATAACAAATAGAGAACGGTTATTAGTCACAACCGTTCTCTTTTCCCTTCTTAAATTCGTACACTAAGGAAGGAATACAGAACGGTTTAGGCCACTTAACCGTTCTATATTGCATTACGATAGAGAACGGTTAAGTTAGGTAACAGTTCTCTATTGTTTTTTTTAAAATCCGGCCATATGTATTTAATTATTCGAATTACCCCTCTATGTATTTTATACCGTATTATTCATATATTTTAATAATCTGAATTATTTTTGTATTTCATTTTAGACATGTATTCCTGTTTTATATCTTGTAAATTTATATATCCTGTAAGAAAATCTTCACATTTCCTATGTAAAAAAAATCCAAGATCCTATACGTGAAATATAACTTTATGTATAATAAAATTAACAAAATTATTTCCAGATACGACGAAAGCCATCAAAATATACTTCATATATATAATTTAAAACATCCAACCACAATTAAATTGAATCATTCATACAAAATTTGTTCTATACAAACAAATACGTGAGTTAAATATCAAAAACCTTTCTAATTAATGTTGATTTAAAAAAAAAAAACAGATGCCCCAAAATATCAATACCATATTGATCTACAATTCACATAAATCATCGTCGTCATCATTTGGTTGATGGTATCCGGTAACATATGAAATCCACCTTTCCCTAAGCTCATCAATCATTTGTTGAGAATATGTATGAGGAACTTGCTTAAAATACTACAAAACAATGTAAAATACATACATACTAGTTAATAATATATTAGTTCAAAATAGAGTGTCATTGTGGGGCATGGATAACAAATAAGCCTCAGTCAACAGCATAGGTATACATCTAAAGTTGCCAACAAGGCACAACCAAACAAGCAAGAGTAACATATCCTACAAGCATTTACACAATATCTCATGAAGTATAGCAACAACAAAGATTCGGAATACAAAGAAGTAACAAATTTCAAATAATAATAACAATTTGATCTCTTTATGTGCCATCAATATCATTACAGTTATAATTGAATTCCATTAGCACTACTATTCGTGTTAACTAGCTTAGCATTAAGACACAAGTTCTATTTAATATAACCAAACTCTACTAAAAAAAATAAGCAATTAGCTAATATACCTACTGCCACTAATACAATCAATATCTTTATTGATTTAAAGTGCACATCTACTGCCACTGATACATTAAAGTTACGAAAATGAAGCCAAAAATGGGTGTCCCACTCCCACTTATGAGAAAATCCCTTTGAAAAAAAAAATCCTCTATCTCACCTCATCATATACTGCCACTGATACATTAAAGCTGCTTTTATCAAATGCACACGTTACCTCGTATAGGCCTAAAGTGTACTAGAAAGACGACGGCTTTGAAGAGGTTTTGTACACACTTCCACCGTCAGAAGGCGGTATTGGATTAGTGCTTAATCATGTAACACAACCAATTGCTGCTGCTGCTAAGAAACCATACCCTTTTAGAAAGTCAGAACCTGCTGCTGCTGCTAAAGGGTCAGTACTTGCAGGAGCTGAGTGGTCTGTAAAATCCCCATTCGGCACAGTGGAATTCCGCCCCTCGGCTTTCACACTAACCTCCCACTCCTCAGCATTCGAATTCTCACCCTTCCCTCTCGCTACTGTCAACCTCCTTTTACTCCCAACCCTCCCTTTCACCAATACACGCAATGGAAAAACCCGAACCCCTCTCATCTCCTCCAAGATAAAAAACCCAAACGAAAGGCGAATCGACGAAATTTGGAACCTACAATCAATCACAGCACACTTCACTAACCTCAAACTCCTCCCATCCCCAATCATTTTCACCCCAAAAACCCATAATTTCCCCCCTGAAGCTGAGTACAAAACCAAATAATTAATTCAACCATAAATCATAACCTTCATCCCATGACTTACATCCACAATCACACCCAATTTCTTATCAAAACTAACCCCATTTTGACTACAAACAACCTGAGGTACATTCACAAATTTCCCATCAAAACCCAACAAATAAATCTCAAAACAACCCTAGACCCATCATTGTAGGGCTCAACAGTAATTTTAGAGAGCATAATTGTGCAAAAACTACAAATTTTAGAGAGTATAGTCAGATGTGTGCATCAGCTACTCAAAATACATTAAAACTAAATGTCGTGCCTTGTCGGGGATGATCATTTGCCTAGATTCAATTGTCTCAATCATGTAGCGACAAACGTAATATCCACCATCACTAGAGCCAGTAGCTTGACGAGGACACTAATCCAAACCAAAAAAAAGGGGGAGGGTTAAATCAAACTCCTAGTTATATATAATGTTAGTACATATATTATGTACTAAGCATTGCAAAATTAAATTAAAGATACAAATACCTCTATGCTTATCCATTTAATGTAAGGTTTCTTCTTTATTTTTGTGATATCCTTTTGATGTTCCGCGCTAAAATTGATCATTGCCCTACATAATTATCAAAATATTAGAGTAATAGTATTGAAATACTTTCATAAAAAGAAGTTAACATGTAACAAAATAAGTATTCTAGCACATACTTGTTGATTATTGTTTGAGAAAATTTAGGAGGTTCATCTTTTACTCCCGCGGGATCTAGCCAATACACCAAACCAACCCATGGACAAATAACAGCCAACATCCAATGTCCACTATATTGATTAAAACAATAGAATTCAAATACAATAATGAATGTTTAAAAGGAAGAAATAAAAATGATAAAAAATTAAAAAATATGTGATAGACTCATATGCACTTACTCCTCATAATACGGGGCAAAGAAGAGCTGATTTTTGTTTTTGCCATCATTACATGAAAATAGCCTAGCTAGATAGTCACATTGATCATCGTCTTTTTCCACAGTTGGAGCATACGGGGATAGATAGTTGCAATCACAAAATCCATACAACCCTGAGATACCTTATGTATGAACAATCTCACTCATATACCTTGCATATCAAATATTTTTTTAAAATTTATTAGCTCATTAATAAAAAAGCGTTATAAATTTATCCTAGAAATGGCAAAAGATACAACACTTACATCATTAAAATTGACATGTGTGACAATTTTATCTCTCTTTGGAAGCACCAGTCAAGCATGTCTTCATAATCAAGGGTAACACATTGCTCATTTTGAAACATTCTAGCCAAAACTGTAAAAGATTTGGTTTTATCGCTCGTTTTCATTGCAATAGCCACATCCTTAAATACTCGAACCAAATTAGAAGTCAACTTCAACTTATCAGCATGAGTTATTGTGTACTTTCGAGTGCATGATGATTGTGATGATGGCGAGTGTGGAGATGGTGCAGCGATTTCTGTAGGGACTTGCTTATCAGCCTTGTCATATAATCACAGGAAAAAAATCAGCAAAAAAAAAAAAAAAAAAAAAAAAAAAAAGATGATCGTATTATATAATGTGACAGATAATTATAATTTAAAACTGAATTTTACCTTCTTTATAGGAAAAACCAAGTGAGAAGGCCATATTAAATAATAATTTAAAGTTTGACAAATGAATCTTATCTCCCCTTCAGGACATGGCAGAGGTGCATTTGGGTTGATTTCTTCTTTAACACAAACTCGATAATGACCACTTGGGACAGGCTTGAAATGATGCTTGACAACTTCTCCTTCCATCCCAACATACACTTCTCCAATAGAAACTATATCGACCCCTTTGTCACTCTTAATTGCCAAGGAACAAAGACTATCAACTCCCTAAATATGGGTTATGGTTTTAATAAAACTTGTGTATTGATAAGATGTAGTCATATGTATATTAATATACGGTGCAATTTCATCTTCATTGAAAAAAGTCATATGTCTCTTAATATACGGTGCAATTTCATCTTCATTGAAAAGAATATATGTGTGGGCCATGTGCCACTTTTCAGGAGACAAGTCAAGTTCTCTACGACCTATGGTTCCCTTACCCTCAAGTGTGTCACTGTGTCGAGAAGTAGAAATCCCTACTGTCCTCATATCTCCTAAACTTTCAAGGCAATATTCCATATCTAACTCATAAAGCATTCTCTCAGCGATACAAGCCTCAGGTCGATACGCATTCTTAACATAACCCTTATAAGTTTTCATTTGTCTTTCAAAGGCCCATTGAGCTCTATTGTGCACAGGACCACAAAATCTAATCTCCCTTACCAAAAGAACAGGAAAATGTATCATTACATCAAAAAAAGCCGAGGGAAAGTACATCTCCAATTGACACAAAATAACAGCAATTTCAGTTTCTAAGGAATCCAAATCTTTTGGATTGATGACTTTACTATAGATTGCCTTAAAGAAAAGACATAACCTGATAATGGCATATCGTACATTTTTTGGCAAAATTGAACGAATAGCAATAGGTAAAAGATCTTGCATAAGAACATGGCAGTCATGAGACTTCAAACCCACGAGTTTCAAATTCTCCATTGAAACAAGAGAGGAAATGTTTGAAGAATAACCCTCAGACACTTTAACTCCAGCTAAGGATGCACAAAGCTCAACTTTCTCCTTCTTAGACAGTATATAAGCAGCAGGTGGTAAATAGTCCCGTTTTCCAATTTCAACGACATGGAGCTCATTTCTCATATTCATTTCCTTCAAGTCAAGTCGAGCATTAACACCGTCTTTTGTCTTCCCAGAGATATTCAATAGTGTGCCAATCAAACTATCAAACACATTCTTTTCGATATGCATAATATCTAGAGAATATCGAACAAAGAGAAATCTCCAATAAGGAAGACGCCAAAAATCACAACACTTCCTGTACCCTTTCTTAGGAATGGCACCTTTATTTTTTTTAACTTGCCAAAAGTAAGTTGAATGTCTTTCACCTTTTCAAATACTTCTTGGATAGTAAAGACTTTTGGGCGAATTTCAAAATTTTGTTCCTAAAATCTTTCTTCATTCGACGATACTTATGATCCAAAGGAAGAAATGGACGATGATCATAGTAGACCGTCTTTCTAGATGCCGATAACCATTTACCTTTCCAACCATCTTCACATATAGGACAACCACCTTCCCCTTTTATAGAATAGCCAGAAAGATAACCATATGCTGGATAATCTTGTATCGTGCAAAATAACATTGCTCTTAAATTGAACATTTCATTCCGATTAGCATCAAACACTTCTATACCTTCTTCCCACAACAACTTTAAGTCGTTTATGAGAGGGGCCAAATTGTAGACACCTAAAAATGTCTCCCCAAAACCAAACCCGTTGATGAACACCTTTCACCGCCATTATTGGTCTATTTGAATATTTAATCTTTGGAGTGCTTAAATCCATGTTCTATCCAACATATTTCATGAACCAATCCAATTTCTAGCTCATTTCCCTAAACCATAACCTATTTTCCACTTTTCGTGTCCACATTGCAAAATTGAGAGAAACTGATTTTATGGATATACAATATTGATCTAACTATTATTCTTTTGGATAGGCCTTTAAATAAGCTTTCCAACCATATATCATAAGCCCAATTCCGAGCTATAACGAAAAAGATATGAGCAAAACACTAAACTCGGCCTAAAACCGACACCCTTCCACTAAAACGACCATATCATAAAATATACATATAATTTTGACTTGATTCTAATTGGGTTGGAAAGTAGACTTGATAATATTTCCAATGATATATTATATGATTTTTTCCGAGTTACGAATCAAAAGTTATGATTATTTTAAAAACGGGTAAAAAACTGAAATTACCGCGCAGCAGCAAATGTGCCGCGACGCGGCAAAAGATGACGTGTCACGGGACTTATCCCCGTGACACGGTGCCCATTTTTGTAATTTTGCTCAATTTTCCCCCGTGTCACGGTGCCCATTCCGTGACACGGGAATATTCCGTGTAATTTCCGCGTACTTTTTACACCGTGACACGACATACTGCACTGTGTCATGGTGGACAATGCCGTGTCACGGCATTTCTTCCCGTGTCACGGTGCACATCCCGTGCCACGGGATTGCTCCGTGTTTCTCCGCGTAATCCCTAAACACGTTTTCACTTCCCGTAACCTAAATATTTCCCGTGTCACGCAAATTTGTACCGTGTCACGGGAAAGTTTCCCGTCTGACGGTGGGATTTCCCGTGTCACGGTACACTTTGCCGTGTCGCGGGATACTTTTTTAGGGTTTTTATCATTTTAGGGTTCCGTGTGCTCCCTCAGCACATTTTCCCTATAAATAGGACCTCCCCTTTCTGTAGTTCAGGGCACCAATAATCATTCTCTCTCACTTACACCAAAAATCATTCTCTTCTCCCTCTTTAACCTAATTTCTAGCCTCATTATTCTTCCATAATAATTCCCCTAAGCACTCCAAGGAGTCTATACTTAACCCGAGGTTCCGTCCTTAAACCAAGGCGTGAAAGGTACAAATAACTGAGGGTTTTGACCAAATTAACTCTACTTTTTATTTAATTTAATTTAATAATTTTAATTTGATTTAAATTTTTATTGAAGTTACTAACAGTTTATTCATGATGTAGCAAATTAAAGGAACGCGCGGAATGTGAGTAATTAATTAATTTAATTACTCTTATTTTATTTTAATATTGCTAGCATCATGATTAGGTTATTTTATATTTTATTTGACTTACAATATTATTGTTAAATTGCTTCCAATATTAATGGTAATTCTATTATTTTTATGATCACCATATTGCATGTTAAAGGGAATATGTAATTGAAAATCACGCCTAATAAGATAATTTGGACGACCGGTTTAGATTCCTTTTTAATCTTGTTATTAATTCTAAGTGATCACTAATATTTTAGAATTTATGTTGCATTAATATTCAATCAATTTAGCTTAATAATAGTTTGGAACGAATTGAATATTTTGTTTGTATGCCTTTGAGATTGCAGGAATCACTTTTCACTATAAGAATCGAGTAGAGGCCAATACGGGCGAATGTGACTCCATGACTCACTTCGTACCATCATCCCCGATCCTCCTTTCGTGGTTCCGAACCATATGGAGTTAGTAATCTCATGGATTATGAATGGGGTATAACCTTCACGGGTCAATCGTTGTTGCCTTCGTTGTCCCTTTATCGTGGTTGCCTTTTATGATCCGTGAACGGTTTACAAGTTCCTTAAAAACTTGTTGGCGGCTCCCTACTTTCCTTGTCCCTAATCGTATTATGTCAATTCCCACTTCCTATGAGTGCCAAGCATATTCACAACATGCTTTTAATGTAGGCGCACTCCGAGCAACGCCTGCAATTTGGCGACTCCACTGGGGAGGATTCTTGGTTATTTATCGATTTGAGTGATCGATATTTAATTAAGATGAGTGCATGAGACTTAAGATTCTTGAAAAATATTCCTGTGATTAATTTGGCATTTTTGCATATGCATAGACGTTTTAACGTCGCATTTAGGTCTGTCCCGTAGGAAAAATTGAATAACTTGATTGCGTACGAAGGAAAACAGGGCACCAGTCAACTTCCTTTGATTTTTCTGAAAAAACGTATGCGTTCTACATACGTCTTAGCCCTGGGGGATTTAAGCTCTATCAACCCAAAAACGCTCATGGCAATAAGGGTTCATCCGAGTTATTAAATCCACCCAAACCATGGAGTCGAGTTCGATTTCATCACGAACTCGCGGAGCCGCCCGTTGGCATACACCCTCAAGGGAGGCTGCCTTGCTAACGCGTCCAAACTCTTAACCATGGTACCCTTTGACACCCAAATAAACTTGACCATAGTCGAACATAGAACTTGACCTTAGGTTGCGAACTATTCTTTGCATCATTGTGCCTACGTGTTTTATGTTTGGTCGTTTTGATCCTAACCTTAACGATATTTCTTTGTCTATGGTGGATTATTTTATGACTAACGATTGCCAATGGACCGTACTCACTTAGTAATTAGTAAAAAAAAAAAAAAAAAAAAGGAAGGGTTGCCGCGACACGAAACTGTCCACCGTGTCACGACACAGTCCACCGTGGCACGGGAATGTTTATCGTGGCACGGGAAAGTTCACCGTATCACGGCAATTTCCACCGTGACACGGTGGATTTTCCACAAAAAAAAAACCGCGTGAGTCAAGTCTTCCGTGTTAATTTGGTCTTCGCGTCAGTCATTTTGGTTATTGTTCACATGTATAGCCATACGATCATACCACGAGTCTTATAACATCACTTAGTCACTCACGAGTCAAGTATAGTCCACACACTTTCGTTATGTTCCGACTCGAGTCGTGCACCAGGTCATTTATGATCGTATATTAAGTTCATGCACCCTTTTTTCGTCATAATAAAAAAATGAGTGGAGTTTTCTCACCTGTTTTCAAATGTCTATTTTTTTCCTTCCTATCTTGAGCAATGAGTCAAACAATTAAGTGAATTATTTTATTTCACAGTACTTGGTCAAGGAACAGGAATAGATTAATACAGTTCGAGTCATTACCGCAACAATCTCTCAGATGTAATAGGCGTTCAAAGAGAACTTTGCCATCTCCATTACTCATCACCTTACAATGGCCACTAAAGAAGATATTGAGAACATCAACAAATCCATCGAGACACTGTCTTCCATGATGCAAACCCTTACCACTAGGGTCACTACCATGGAACAAAACAAGGTCTCTGTTTCCACCCTTGACAAACTGAAGGAACAAATGAGTAAGATTTCTAAGGATTTCACTTATGTGGAACGGCTCCCACTCCTTTGGATGTGAAAGACAGACTCCCTGAAAAGTTCTCCACTGCTGATAT